TCTGTACAAAATGTTGGGCTGGGTCACGCACCCAAGATCGTCCATGGCTCCAGCTCCAAAAGCCACGTGGGAGGCCATGCATCCACCATCCACAGTCCCAATTAGGAGACAATGAATGTCCCATCTTCTGGATTGTTAGCCTTGCTTTTCCATAATTTGCCTGAGCTTAAACATTTTTTGGCGAAGATACTTGTATGCTGCTTATTTCTCCACACCACGTGGCTTATCATGTAGTGAATGAAGACCTTTCTGGAAAAAAAAAAAAAAGTACTTTTACCTGCTGATCTAGGAAGTTCATCATGCTGATCGCAGGGAAGACAATTAGAAAAGTGTAATACGCACATGCTGTAGAGAAAGAAATTAAAGATACAGGACTCATCTCAACCTTCTTCACATGTACCATTCAGTGACATAGCTGCATCCATCATGCTGTGCAGCATCCGGTTCCCACAGGAATCTGAGCTGAAGGCAACAGTAGGAGCGACTGTGAGTCAAGTTCAGGTGAAGCAGAGAGTCAGCTGTGTGTAAAGCCGTTGTAGGTGAAAGGGAGGTCAGTTACGGAACCTCCTGGGGGTATTATCTATTATTGTTAGGGGCATCGAGTCTGTTCTGACTCACAGAGGCCCTTTGCACCATGCTTACAATCATTGCTATGTGTGAGCCCAGTCACTGTGTCAGTCTGTCCCAAGGAGCACAATACTTGCAGCCACTATTGTTGAATGTACTGAGCCAGTCTGAGAGTAGTGTCAGCTCAAAATTGAAAGGGTATTCCAGGACAGTAACCTTGCAGATTCCTCTAGTTTCTACTGGTTGAGTACATCCGGTCTGTGTTTTAAAGAATTTGTGTTGTGTTCTGTAAATTTCCCCATTTTGTTGGATCCCTGCTCAGAATGGTTGGTGGTGGTAGCCAGGAACCATCTAATTCTTCTGGTCCCTGGATAGATGAGGCCCTGGATGCTTTGAGTAGGCAGCTGATCCTGTCAACGAGGTCCTTCTTTGGATCTTTGGTTTCCTTCTTTCTCAAGACAAGCAGAGATAGTTGTATGTGGCATGGCCACTCACAAGCTTCCAAGAAAGACGCCAGATGCTACGTATCATGTACTAGGATATGGAGCGTAAGACTGAGTTGATCCAGTTGGCCCATGAGACTCTGGACCCTACTCTTCTGGGAGCCAATTGCCAGAGCTCTTGTCCGGGTGGATTCAGTGTGCCAGTCGTTCCATTAACAGTTGAGTAGTGTAACCATTGTGCTGCCAGAGCTGCTTCCCGTCCTTATTAGCAGACTGTTCCCTTATGTTTCAACAAACAAGATAAAAGGGGGAATGCTTTCTGCTGTATGATTCACAACAGCTTTTGTGGTACCCTGCGGTTTTTATAACAGCTGGAAATAATCTATGTTGGATGTAAATCATTATCGTTGACTTAGGGATATACCTGGTGGTGGTGGTTCATTTTGCTTTGCTTTTGAATAACAAATAATAGAAAAGTATGTAAGCCTGGCAAAATGGAAGATTTTATTAATTACATTAAATACTAAGTAGACTTACTTAGTCCCTGAGAACAAGACTCTTGACAGGACCAAGTCTCACTGAAGTAGGAAATTGGGTCAAGGCTGTTCTGAGATGTCAGCAACAGCGGATGGAAGGCCCTTGTAGGATGTTCTTCCCAGAGTGGAACTCGGCTGTGCTTCTGCAGGCATGTTTCTTCTGTCCCACTACCATTGGCAAAGCCTTTCTCCGCTCCGGATTCATTTCACACAAAAGAAAGAATGTGATTGGCATGACTCACTTTTCCTGCCATTCCATGGTAGCTTTTCCTGGTGCCTGTCTATGTTCTCATCATAGAGGTGTCTGTCTGACAAGGCTTACAGGGACATGTAGTGCCGTGCACAGTGTTGCCCTCTGAATGGGCCATGTCTGGCAGTCGTAACAATTGTCATTTCGAGTTCTGCCTTCCACCCTTTCTCTCTCACCTACATTCAGCTTTCTTTCCATGCACGCACTTTAAACAGTGCGCCCGCCTCCTGACCTTCACCATCACAAAGGCTCTCTCACCTCCCTGGCAGGGATGCAGCTTCAGTCAGGGTCCTTTCCCACAGACCCCGCCACACGAGCTGCTGCAAAAACTGCCTGTCCGTGCCACAGGCTCCAGTCTTCTGGTGACACTCCGCTGTGTTCTCCCTCAGTCTGACGAGGGCTCTGCCTGTAGCGTGAGACTTTTAAAGGTTTTCTACACTCTGATTCTGCACCCCTGGAAGTCCAGGACTCTAGAAAACAGAAAGTAGTCTCTGACTACTTAGGGATGGTGGTGGGCTAGAGGTAGGAGGATGGTAGAGAAAGGGTATGGAGCTGCTTCTGAGGGGCCCAGACTATTCTCAAATGTGATGGCGGTTAGACATATCTGAGTATAAGAAAGGCTAAGGAATTGTACACTTTGTATGGTGAATTACGTGGTGTGTGATTTATATCTCAATAAGGTTGTGAAAAATGGAAAGATAACCCATCCCCTTTATAGGGTCAGACCCCTGTACCCCACACACATGCCGTTCCCTTTGATGGTCAAAGACAGACACTCTGTTCCACGTAGTAGACCTCTTCCCTTGCTTCTCAGTAGCCCAAGGACTGTGAAATGGCTCTGTGACGGGCTTCGCTTTCGGCGCACTGGCATCATTATCTTTTCCCTGAGAGAAATGCCCGGGTATGGATCCAGACCCTCAGAGAAGAAAAGAGACCCCACTGTAGAGGAGCATCCCCGGAGGACCAAATATCCTAGTTTTGACTCTGGCGGATCTGATCCCATCCATTGATTTCAGGCCAGTTTGTGGATTCTCTTCTGAGTCAGACACTCTCGCCTAGTCTAATTTTGTACAATATAATATCCCTGAAATTTTTAGTGGCATGTTAATCAGTTACACTAAATGAGGCTGACTTATTTTCCTTCTAAAAAGTGTATTTCAAGTAGATTTTTGCTGTGAACAATGCCATGAAATAAAATAACATAATTTACCTTACAGTGTGATTATGTCAATGTCCCAACGACCGTGTTCACTCCTTTGGAGTATGGCTGCTGTGGGTATGCTGAAGAGAAAGCCGCTGAAGTGTATAGCAAAAAGAATCTAGAAGTAAGACCTTTGTTTTTAATTTTTAACGATTTTCTCATTTAACTAGCCATTTCTCTTCACAGAAATATTTTATGTCATAAGTTACTATGATAGTTTTAGGAAATCATTTTATGTCATAAGTTACTATGATAGTTTTAGGAAATCATATTTCTGTTTTAAGAGAATTAGAAATTAAGCATCATCTAAACACTGTAACAACTAATCATACAGATGGGGAAAGAGTAAAGTAGAGTGCATTAGCTAGGAGCTTTGGGTTACAGATAATAAAATCTACTTGAGAGAAAGCTTGCATGAGGAAGTTGAAGTTACTACAAGATATTTCGGGAATCTGAAGGTGCGAACGTATTCAGTCCGTGGGAGGGACGAGAACCAGTAATTTGAAGGTTATCTCAACTGTTTCTTAATCACTTGCTTTTGGCTGCGGGTTTGTGTTCTTGTGCTTTACAGACTATTTGGCCCTCAAGTGCATGTAGCAGCCAAAGTATAAGGAGGATTTAAGAGGTTGTGGAAGTTTTCCCATATCTTTTAATTCCATTTTTCTATGAACTTTTGAAAAGTTCCCTTGTGCCCATTCTCCTCCCACGAAGTTTTATCCACTAGTTCTTAGGGTCTTAGGAGGAGCTGACTGGGCTCCCTCCTTCTCAGTGCCCCACGCTATGGGAGAACACATGTAATTGATCTGAATTGGGTCAGGGATCCATCCACTTTCATGGGACAGCTTATTAACATGACTCGAAGTGGGTAAAACGAGTAGCTCCTGGAGTAACGACTTCCAGAAGGACCTTTCTGCCTTCTTTGTGTCAGCCTCCTTCACACACCCGCTCCTTCCAGAGCCCCGGACATCTGACAGGGAGAACATAGAAGTGTGTCCCTCAGAAAAACAGAGTATCTTTCTGAGAAACAGGTTCCTGAAGTTTGCTACATTTTTGTTTTCAATTCCTGTTACAAAAGTGCTTGAAGAAGCCGCTCAAAAACACGCGACATGCTTCTTTTTTGTGCAATGAGGGAATTAAGGAAGGAGGATAGAAGGTAGAAAAAATAAGGTGAATTTATTGACTGGTCAGATTCACGCCCTAGAGTCCCTATAGAGACTTGCTCCACAAGTCTTGCTTCATTGAAAATGTTACTCTTAAGGCCTTGACTGAGAGAGAGAAAAACAGAGCACTTTTCCCAGGATTCTAGAAAAGGGGCATTGCGGTGTGGTGCCTGCTGTTGTCTCTAGGAGCTTTCTTCTCAGTCTGACCCGCAGCGACCTTATGTGCAGCAGAACAAAACACGGCCTGGTCGGTGCCATCCTGACTCTGCTGTGTCTGAGCCATGGTGGAAGCTGCTTTGTCAGTCCGCCCATTGAGAGAGGCTCTTCCTCTTTTTCTGCGGACTCTCTTCTCTACCAAGCATGACGCCTTTCCGATCACCTCAGCATAATGGTGGGTGTTATGCAGTTATTTCTTTTTCTTTTTTTTTATGCAGTTATTTCTTATTAGACCAAAGATATGGCTGCATATCATAATGCCTCCAAGACAGTATAGTATCAAAAGAATCCCGAAAGAGAGCACAATGGGGCAGTGCTAATATGAGGATAAATCAAAAAGTGTTGCTCATAGGGTTCCAATTCATGTGGCTATTCTACACAAAGCATGTTTAAACATGTTTAGACTATCAGTGAGTGGCTGCAGGTCAGTTTTCTCAGTAATATTCTTGTCTTCACCTTGTTAAGATGCCTTCACAAGAAGGTCCAACAAAGAACAATGGTTTCTGAGGGGATCTACTGGGCCAGTTAGGTCCGACAGGTCAGCGTGAGGGTGATGGTCAGAGGACACAGGATGATCCTGGGTGCTTTTTAGGAAGAATTTCTAAGAATATTGAAAATTGTGTTTGAGGAAAATGCCGGGAATGTTATACCCATGAGTTTTTCCCCTTGCAGCAGTGTGCCTCCTCACTCTTTGAGGATGGCAAGGTATGTTCTGTGACAATTTCACTGGGCACCTTGCCCTCTCCCTGCGCCTTGATCTTACCCCTTCACACTTTGTTTTATATCTAAAGCTCAAAAAGCGGTGAAAAGGTACGTGATTTGAGTTCCACAAAGATGCTGAAATTGCCATTTTGATGTGGTACAAATTACACAGGGGAGGCTTCTTCAGTTAAGAGTTAGTACGATGGAAATACTTTCAGAACCCTATAGACCTAGATTAGTGTTTCCCGACGTGGGCGATGCCACTCCCTGGG